TTGACAATAAAGGGCTGAATTGAAACCAGCCCCCCAAATTTTTCTAAGTGACATGGCTCCATTCTCATGGCCATTTAGACCATACTCGTATTTTTATACCTCAGAAAAAAACATGTGTTTTTAAATGAGGAGTCCTCATTTTCTATTAAATTGTGCAAGTTCTCTCAGAATAACATTGCTTAATTCACATATTACTGCACTATCGATTATTTAGCCTGTAAAATTTACTGTAACTGTTTAAATGTTTCTTACTTTACAGCACAAGAAACTCTATGAGAAAAGTGAATTATTACACAAACTAACGTAGCAATGATGAGTGAGTTTCAGGCCCAAAGAAATCTGCAAATCTCTTAGCCAGATGTGTACAGTGAGTAAATCATATTATATTTTCATCAAAGGACTGGGAAAATTTTAACAATGTACAGAATGTTGGCAGTTTATACTGCTCATTAGGAAACAACAGCTAATGCCCCAGCCGGAAGAATATCCAGTTGATCAATATGACTTATTACAATGTGGGAATAAAGTGTCATCCCAACAAAGCAAACTATGCATGTCATTTTAGCTAGAGGGATACTCCTCAGTCTAATGAAGCAAGGCTGTAAAAATCAAACTAGGACTTAGAAACATTTCTATTATAAAACAATTAAAAATTTAAATTAAACATATGTTATAAAAACTCAGAATACAAGAAAATGATTAGAGAATGTAGCTTTTCTTTTAACTTATTTTTATTTTAACATTTCCCATTTTCAAATAGGCAAAGCTTACTGATATTATTTAGATCATGTAACAAGAGACCCTTAAAGAGTATTCATTATTTATTTCCAAATAAAATACTACAGTAGTAACCTATAGGTGAATGAAGTTAGATTAATATTTAGATGTTTTCTTAACATATCCCATAGGCTTATTCCAATATTGCCCTTGGTGAACATGCTTTGCACATGATTAACTACCTGAAAAGTAAAAGAAGAACAAAAATACAAAGAAATTCCTTGCCAAAACACACTGTTGTATTGATCTCCATGACTCCTCTTATGCCTATCTTTGAATAAGCATTACTATAATTAGTATCACATACAATTTTCTGTTTAGTTTTCATTTTCTCATTATAGACTTCCTCTTTAACTATTTATGTGTAGATATTTAATACTTTAAACATAATATACTATTGTAACAATATACCAAGAATTATTAATGGTCCAGGAAGTTTTTCTTCCATCTTTTTTATATCTCTTATGACACATAAGTCTATCACTATTTTTTTTTAAACATTTTACTTCCTTCATAGCTCTCTCAGATGCGCCTTGTTCTATTCATCCAAATCCCCATAGCCCCCACTGCCCCTAATTTTGGCTTACCATAATCTCTCACCTAGACTATTACAAGAGTTCTTTATTTGAATTTTTTAAATATCCAATTTAGGTCAGCCTCTTAAGTCTATCCCTTGAACAGCTACTCAAGGGAAGTGCCTATTTCATAACATCTAAAATGCCCTAGATTACAAATCAGCCCATTAATTATGAAGCACCAATAACATGAAATGCAGGCTGCCAACTAAACTACCATACAATCTATTCTAATCATCTAGAATATTTATACTTACTGAGATATTTTAACTTAGTATGTTATACATATTTTATCATAGTTCACTCTTGTGTATAAAAATATATTTAAAAACAATTGCTTACGGAATTTCTATATCATCTTCATATTTACAGTATGACTCTTCTGAGTCATTTTTTAAGCTCATACTTTTTTTTTTTTTTGAGACGGAGTCTTGTTCTGTTGCCCAGGCTGGAGTGTAGTGGTGTGATCTTGGCTCACTGCAAGTGCCGACTCCCAGGTTCATGCTATTCTCCTGCCTCAGCCTCCAGAGTAGCTAGGACTACAGGAGCCCACCACCATGCCCGGGTAATTTTTTTGTGTTTTTAGTAGAGGCTGGATTTCACCATGTTAGCCAGGATGGCCTCGATCTCCTGACCTCGTGAGCTGCCCACCTCGGCCTCCCAAAGTGTTGGGATTACAGGCGTGAGCCACCACGCCTGGCCTCGGCCTCAGTTCATAGTTTTTAAATTGATGTTCTTCAATTCAGTGTTGTCCTCTGTGACATCGAGAGCATTGACACAGTAGCATTTAAATCTTTAGCTCTTAATTTAGTTGTTTATGTGTCAATTTTTAAATGGGTAGGGAGGTACGGTTTTCCTCCTGGGGTATAACTAAACAAATATTGTCCAAATACACCTTGCTCCAAATCCAGAGAGTGAGCCTGGATTATTTGAGTGAGACAGTTCTTGCCAATCCCATTTCCTGAACAGGATTTCTTTCTCATTTCCCCAGGCCACTGCTGGAAATCCTGTCACATGTGAATATAAATTTCAGTTGTCTGTGGGTTAGTTCAGAAAATACAATATCTTTCCTTCATGCAAAGCATGATTACATCCAAGATCTACTACAAAAATAAACTTTTATAATGTAACCCATATATAAGCATGAGAATAGTTGTGTGTTCCATGAAAGCCTCCATAATGAGGATTGTCCTGCTTTATAGAATTTCATATCTCCATTTTGAGAAAACAAATACCATGTGTCCAATCAATTATTAATAGAAATTATACTATAAATCGAGATGTAAGTTATCTTAAAGTGACATATATTAAATAATTTTTATATTTCATGTATTTAGCAAGTTAAGAATGTTATCTCCACTCTAGTTTAAGCTCTATTATACATGATAATCAATTTTTTCCTTCCTATTCTGTTAATTTAATTGGTAAATAAAAATAGTTTGTGGAGATCATTTTAATCGGTATGTTTTCATATCACATATAAGCTTTATAAGTGAATAAACAAATATAGGTGCCTTGTGTCATAATAAATTATTGGTTAAATATAGCTTCCACAGTTATACAAAAATAGTATTGGTATAATTTACAAAAATAGAGAAGTTGGACAGTTCTGTTTAGAAAGAAAAGATTATTTCAGTTCTCCACATATTAAACTTTTTATTTTTCATACCAATAATGATGAAACCAGCTCATAAAACTATGTTGCCCAGTTTTTATCATGAGTGTTTATTTTAAAAGGTTGACTTTGACTTTGATGTCTAATAGCACGCATCTAATTATCTTTGAAATAAATTTCTTCTTATTAGCTAATGTATTTAAAATTAGTAAAAATATGTTTATAACTATCACCATTTGGGAATTGTCAAGACAGTATTTACTGAAAGGCTCTGAAATTCCTTACTGAAATAAAAGATAAAAAATTGTTTTTCATTACAAATGCCTTGCTGGTTCTTTTCCTGGCATAGCCCAGGAAAGGAACTAGAATTATTTAAGCCTTTTGAGTAAGTGTTTGACATTTTCATACTTGGTGGAGATTTATCTGACATAAGTATGCAAAATAAGTTAAATGGAAGAGAATCTGGAATCATAAAGATAAATATAAGTATATGCAGGATAAAGTTAGTGTTGGAAATAATGAGGATCTCAGAACTAGATTCCAAACAGCAAAATTATGTATTATATATAAATTATATATGATTATATACAATATAATAAAATATATATAAACACTGGTAAATGAAAATATAAATATAAATTCAAATGACCGTATTTGAATAGAAAGTAAAACTAGAAGATTAATATTTGATTTTGGTTGTTGGTACGTTACAAAAATAGAGAAGTTGAAGACAGTTCTGTTTAAAAATATTATCAATTTAACTTTTGTTATATGTTATGTTAACAAAAAGTTAACATATTTAACTTTTCATTTTTCAGTGGTATAACATCCATGATTTAAATTGACAAATGCTTGTGTGCTAAGTGCTAGAAATTCAAAATTAATAAGATGATACCCAACTAAAAATTCTCAATAGATAAGAAAATTGTTGTAGAAACATAATAGGTTTGAACGTATGAGATCTGAAAATAAAAAGGAAATCTAACCTAGTCAAATGAGAAACAAATAAAGATAATAGGAAAGTTTCAATAAAACACTAAAATGCAGAAGACAAATAGTAAGAATAGAAATAGAATGAAGATAAGTGCTTTGGCAAAGTAGAGGCTCCACAACTTAATGTTAGTGTAATCACTCTGTGCATGAATAAATAAATTAAATGAGATAATAAAGAAATGGCATTGAGATTCAAACTAAGTAGTTCACTAAAGTATTCAGCACAGTGTCCAGAAAACAGATTCTTAGAAATTATTGGTTACTTTTACAGAGGTTCATTACAGAAAAGTGAGAAAGAAAATGTCAAGTCAGATGTTAGCATCTATTTTAAAAAATCTTAAAATACTCAAATAATTTGCCAAAGACTCAAATAGTTTATCGGAAACCTGCAAAGGCATAAAAGTATTTCATAGTGTGTCATAAGACTGTGGAATAGATTAGTTTAATATACAGAATAAAACAGTCAGCAACGTATAATGTTAAAGCAGATAACTACTATGGTTTTATAATCTCAATAACAATAAAAACATGGAGACAGAGAGACCTCAGTCATCAAATCCAAGATTTGTCTTGAAGTGTTTCTATACTATAGCATTAGTGCTAAGATCTTGGCTCTGTGGCCAAATTATCTGGCTTTGACATTTTGGACAAGTTATTTAATCTCTTTGTGCTTTAATTTTTTCTTCTATTAAGCGAAGATAATAATGTCAATTTTCTTACAAAGTTGTGCATAATGTATGAATTCATACATATAAACACATAGAAAAGTACATGGCCTATAGTAAGTTTTTCCAAAAGAATGAAAGCTTTAACTATTGCCTGTTGTGCATACTACATGTTTCCTAATGTACATTTTAAGTTAGCATTTTCCATTCTAATTCTAATGGTATTAATGTTCAAAGTATAAGTAATAAATGTTCACACATAGTCCTTCCAATTTAGAGCTTATACAGAAAACATTAGTTTCCAATTCCTCCTCCACAACTCCACCCACAATGACTCAATAGTCTAAATATGCTTGTTATTTTTCCCACCATTAGGACAAAGTTTCTCCCTGGATCATGAAAATTCCCTTTTGTCTCCACATCTTTTCTATCAAATTCTATTTTCAGAATACTTAAAAAGAAATCCAGCTGAGCAATATTAATCACTTAAGCGTTTATGTTGCATTAAGACTTGAAATTTATATTGAAGTTTCTTCATTTTCTATCATTTGGAAAGAAAAAGTCATCAATCATTATTACTGTTTTATCAATTTAAAAAGAAAAAACATCAGGATAAAACAAGCAATCACTCTCTATATAAAGTGGGTTAAATGATAAGTTATTTGACAGATGTCAACAGGTTAAAATTTAAAAATAGTGTGTTAGTCTTCTTCACAGTCGTGTTTTGCCTTTTATAACTGATAGGCATGACATATCAAATGGACACATATCAAATGCTCTTTCTTAACACAAAAGATATATTTCGTCCAAAATAGTCAGAAATTGACAACATGACATAGCTTGACATAATTTACATATTTTCACATTGTGTTACTCTTGGTCATTTATCATATCCTACCATATATGTTTCCTGTTTATCTCTTAATGTTAGCTCATAAAATTATGGTTTATGTCTATAGGTTATAACAATATCTTCACCCTGCCAAAGTTAGGTAAACATTTGTTGAATGAAGCAAGTACTAGTATGCTTACATTCATACAGGCTGACAATTTACACACTAAAGTTGTGTTCCTTGAAGGTAGGAACCACATATTTTAGCCTTGGTAACTCACAGGCTGTTTGAAGCACAACAGGTGAACAATAAATACTTTCTGCAGAATAATTAAGTACTTTAATGAAACAAAACATAGAATCTTTTGAAAGTGGTCATGGAAGATAAAGTTCAATAGACAGATGGGTAAAATTTGGAGAGATATTTTAAATGCCAAGGATTATAAATTTAAAATTGTACATTTTAATTAATATTGCAGTTATGGCATCTAATGGATATATCATGAAACAACCTTTATGAACTTTACTTTCTCAGTTAAAATGAGGAAAATAATAACACATTTGTCACCTGAGTAAGTTAGTTGTAATCTGACATCATAACTGACCTTTCAGCAGATCATTCCATCATTCTATCGACTCAACTAATTTGGGGTCACAGGGAATGTGTTAAGACTATTTGCGAATACCCTTGGCATGTGTCTCTTGACCAACTGCCTTTCCTGTAATGTGTCCTCTAATCAGGTAGGATACTTGTGGGATGAAATAGTAACACACGAGAGAATCTAAATCTATGAATGTTGGTGCTGATAGATGTGCTTCAAGTTCTTATAAAAATACAACATACAGCTCCAACTGTGACAAAAAGGGTTGAAAATAATCAACCCTATCCAGGTGGCTGCCTAGACTCTTAGGAATAATGAAATATTGAAAACTCATTAATCTCTGCTTTTGACAGACGAGGCATTCAGATTAGCCTTGCTAAGAGAAAGTCTACATTGTCAAGTGTATGCAGTCTCCACCATGATCATTTTGTTCATGGGCTCATATAGAGGTGGAGCAAGACAGTGGAATAGAAGGCTCTGCTGATCATCCTCCACCCCCAGCCAGGACACTAAGTTAACAACCATCTACACAGAAAAACAAAACAAAATAAAACCACTTTCATAAGAACCAAACTTCAGGTGAGCATTCATAGTACCTGGTTTCTACTTCATATCGCTGAAAGAGGCACTAAAGAGATAGAGAAAACAGTCCAGAATCTCCAATGCACTCCCGGCAACAGTAGTGTGGTGTTGAGAGCATCTCTGGGCCCTGCAGGAGGGAGAACACAGCAGTTGTGAGGCACTGAACTCAGTACTGGCCTGTGAGAGCAGAAGGGAAAGCTGGAGCAAACTCAGCTGATGCCTGCCCACAGATGGAGCATTTAAGCCAGTCATAGCAGAGAGGAATCGCTGATCCAGTGGTCCAAACTTGAGGGTCCGCAAATCTCACCACAGAGGGCTAAAGTTCTCTGCGTCTCTGAGTAAACTTGTAAGTTTGTCCAGGTCATTAGGACTGCAACTTTTAGGTGAGTCCTAGTGCTGAACTAGGCCAGGAGACAGTGGACTTGTGGACACATGACATACTGAAACACCAGCTGGGGCAGCCAAGGGAATGCTGGCAACATCCCTCCTCTAACCCCAGGTGGTCCAAATGAGACCCCTTCCTTCTGCTTGGGAAGAGGAGAGAGAAGAGTGGAGAGGACTTTGTCTTGCATCTTGGATACGAACTCAGCCAAGCAGGATAGGGGACCAGACAGAGTTGTGAGGCCCCTGTTCCATGCCCTAGCTCTCAGATGACATTTCTAAAAACACCCAGGGCCAGAAGGGAACCTAACCTGCTGCCTTGAAGGAAAGAACCTAGTCTTGGCAGCATTTATTACCTGCTAACCAAAGAGTCCTTGGGCCCTTTATAAAAAGCAGCAACACTCAGGTACTATATGGAGAACTTTGGTGAGCCTCTGAGACTTGCTGGCTTCAGGTGAGACTCAGCACATTTTCAGCTGTAGTGGCTATGGGGCAAAACTTCTTTAGCTTGAGAAAATCAGAGGGAAAAGTAAAGGGACCCTTGTCTTGCACCTTAGATACCAGCACTGTCACAGGGGGGCAGAGCACTAAGCAAGCTCTTGGAGAATCTGACTCCAACACTTGACTCTTGAATGACATTTCTGCACCTGCCCTGGGTCAAACAGGAGCCCACTGCCTTAAAGGGTGAGTCCCAGGCCAGGCAGCATTCACCACAAGCTAACTTAGGGGATCTTGGGCCTAAGGGAACAGTGGCTGGTAACTACTGAGTGAGGCTCTTTTGCCTTTGGAAAGGGGAGGGAAGAGTGGGAAGGACTGTGTCATGTGGTTTGGGTGCCACCTTATCTGCAACACAATAGAACACCAGGTAGACATCTAAGGTTTTTAACTGTAGTCTCTGACTCCTAAAAAGCACCTCTGGATTCTTCAGGGCCTGGGAGGCCTCACTTCCATGGAGGAAAGGAGACAAGCCTGGCTTGCTTTTCCACCTGCTCATTGTAGAGTTCCAGGGCTTTGAGCAAACATAGGTAGTAGCCAGGGAGTGGTTACAGCAGGCCTTGGGTGACACCCAGTGCTGTGTGGGCTTCAGGTCTGACCCAGTGCAGTCATAGTAGTTGTAGCAACAGGGGTGATTGTGTCACTTCACCTGCAGCTTTAGGTGATGCAGAACAGAGAGAAAGGCTCTGGGAGAATGTAAGGGAAGAGAACAAGAGTCTCTGTCTGGTAATCCAGAAAATTCTCCTGAATCTTGTTAAGACCATCAAGGCAGATACCTCATGAGTCTGAAAGTATCACAGTGTTATTGGGTTTGTGGTGGCCCCTAAAGTGACTACAGCTTTGATCACAACACTCAAGTCCTTTCAAATATCTGGAAAGCCTTCCCAAGTAGTACAGCTACAAATTAGCTCAGACAGTGAAGACTACCATAAGTATCCAACTCTTCAATACCCAGACGCTGAAGAACATCTACTAGCGTCAACACCATCCAGGAAAACATGACCTCACCAAATGAACTGAGTAAGAAACCAGGGACCAGTCCTGCAGAAACAGATGTGTGACCTTTCAGAATAGCTGTGTGGAGGAAACTCAAATAAATTCAAGATAACCACAGAGAAGACATTCAGGATTCTATCAGATAAATTGAACAAAGAGATTGAAATGATTAAAAGAATCAAACAGAAATTCTGGAGCTGATAAATGCAATTGGCATACTGAAGAATGCATCAGTGTTCTTTACTAGCAGAATGGATCAAACAGAAGAAAGAATTAGTGAGCTTGAAACAGGCTATTTAAAAATACGCAGTCAGAGAAGACAAAATAAAAAAGAATAAAAACAATGAATCATGCCTACAGGATCTAGAAAACAGCTTCAAAAAAGGCAAATCTAAGAGTTATTTTCCTTTAAGAGGAGATTGAGAAAGAGATGGGCGTAGAATATTATTCAAAGGAATAACAACAGACACTTTCCCAAGCCTAAAGAAAAATATCAGTATCTAAGTACAAGAAGGTTCTAGAACACAAAGTAGATTTAATCCAAAGAAGACTACCTTCAGGTGTTTACTAATCAGACGCCCAAAGATCAAGGATAAAGAACAGATTCTAAAAGAAGCAAGAGAAAAGAACCAAATAACATAAAATGGAGCTGTAATACATCTGGCAGCAGACTTTTCAGTGGCAACTTTATAGTCCAGGAGAGAGTGGCGTGACCTATTTAAAGTGCTGAAGGGGGAACATTTTTTTACCTTAGAATAGTATATCCAGTGGAAATATCCTTTAATACCAGACCTGCCCTACAAGAAGTGCAAAAGGGAGTATGTCAATCAGAAATAAAAGGACATTAATGAGCAATAATTTATCACCTGAAAGTACAAAACTCAAACTCACTGGTAATAATAAGTACACAGAAAAACACATAATATTGTAACACTGTAACTGTTGGGTGTAAACTACTCTCATCCTAAGTAAAAAGAGTAAACAATGAACCAATCAAACCAACCCTTCATTAAAGGAAGACAAGAAAGAAAGAGAGAAGGAAAAGAAGACCACGAAACAACAAGAAAACAAGTAACAAAATGGCAGGAGTAAGCCCTCACTTATCTATAATAACATTGCATATAAATAGACTAAACTTTCCAATCAAAAGACTGGCTGAATGGATAAAAAAACAAGACACATTGATCTTTGGCCTACAAGAAACACACTTCACCTATAAAGACACAGGTAGACTAAAAATAAAGGAATGGAAAAAGATATTCCATGCCAATAGAAACCAAAAAAGGAGCAGGTTACTTCTATTAGACAAAATAGATTTCAAGACAAAATCTTTAAGAAAAGACAAATAAGATCATTATATAGTGATAAAGGGGTCAATTTAGCAAGAGGACATAACACTTTTAAATATAATATATACCCAACACGGGAGTACCCATAAATATAAAGCAAATATTATTTGAGCGAAGGGAGAAATAGGCCCCAATAGAATAATAGCTGGAGACATCAACACCCCACTTTCAGCATTGGAGAGAGCTTCCAGACAGCAGATCAACAAAGAAACATAAGACTTAATCTGCACTATAGACCAAATGTATCTAACAGAAATTTACAGTACATTTTATACAAGAGCTGGAGAATACACATTCTTTTCTTCAGAGTGTGGATAATTCTCAAAGATAGAACATATATTAGATCACACAACAAGTCTTAAACCAATCAAAAATGGAAATAATATCAAGTATCTTCTCTATCACAATGGAATAAAACTAGAAATTAAGAACAAGAGGAATTTTAGCAACTATACAAATACATGTCAGTTAAATAATATGCTCCTGGGCTGGGCCTGGTGGCTGATGCCTGTAATCCCAGCAATTTGGGAGGCCGAGGTAGGCGGATCATTTGAGGTCAGGAGTTGGAGACTAGCCTGGCCAACATGTTGAAACCCCATCTCTACTAAAAGTACAAAAATTAGCCAGGCATGGGGTTATGTGCCTGTAGTCCCAGATACTCGGGAGGCTGAGGCAGGAGAATCACTTGAACCCGGGATGTGGAAGTTGCAGTAAACTGAGATTGTGCCACTGCACTCCAGCCTAGGTGACAGAGGAAGATTTTGTCACAAAATTAATAATAATAATAATAATAATAATAATAATAATAATATGCTCCTGAATGACCTGTAAATCAATAAAGAAATTAAGAAAAAAATTGAAAAAAATGTTTTGAAACAAATGATAATGGGAACACAACACACCAAAGCCTGTGGGATACAGCAAAGGCCATACTAAGAGGGAAGTTTGTAGTTATAAATGCCTACGTCAAAAAAGAGGAAAAATTCAAATAAACAATCTAATGATGCATCTTAAAAAACTAGAAAAGTGTAAAACAAATCCAAAATTAGTAGAGGAAAAGAAATAATAAAGATCAGAGCAGAAGTAAATGAAATTGAAATGAAAAAAATAATACAAGAGATCAATAAAACAAAAACTGGTTTTTTTTTTGAAAAGTTAAAGAAAGTTGACAAACCTTTAGATAGGCTAACTAAGAAATAAACAGAGAGGATCCAAATAAATAAAACCAGAAATGAAAAAGGAGACTTTACAGCTAATATTGCAGAAATTCAAAGGATCATTAGTGGCTACTATAAGCAAATATATTCCAATAAATTGGAAAATATGGAAGAAATGGAAAAATTGCTAGATGCATAAAACCTACCAAGATTGAACCAAAAGGAAATCCAAAACCTGAACAGAGTAGTAACACGTAATGAAATCAAAGCCATAATAAAAGTCTCCCAGTAAAAAAAGTAAGGGACGTGATGGCTTCACAGCTGAATTCTACCAAACATTTAAAGAACTAATGCCAATCCTACTAAAACTATTCCAAAAAGTAGAGGAGGAGAGGATTCTTCCAAACTCATTCTATGAGACCAGTATTACCCTGATACCAAAACCAAACAGACACACACACACACACACACACACACACAAATAAATAAATAAATAAATAAATAAATAAATAAATACTACAGGCCATATCTCTGATGAATATTGATGCAAAAATCCTTAACAAAATACTAGCAAATTGAATTCACCAATATGGTAGAAAGATTGTTCATCATAACCAAGTGAGACTTATTTATGGGATGCAACATGGTTCAACATATGTAGATCAATAAATGTGATAGATCATATTAATAGAATAAAAGACAAAAATTTTATGGTCATTTCAACTGACGCTGAAAGAGCATTTGACAAA